TCACAACCAGCTGTAATGAGATCTGGTGCCCTCTTCTGGCCTGCAGGCAGAACATTATACATAATAAACAAGTTTGGGTTTTTTTGTTTGTTTGTTTGTTTGTTTTAATTAAATGAAGTAGGTGTAATGCCAGCACTCAGGAGATAGAGGCAGCCAGGGTTACAGAGTGAGTTCCAAGACAGCCAAGGCTCCACAGAGAAACCCTGTCTTTGGGAAGGGAGAGGGGTTGGGGTGGGGTGGATCTGAAATAGACCAGGGGTAGTCACTCAGTCCTATAATCCCAGAACCCTGGAGGCTAAGGCATGGGAATCAAGATTTTGATACCAACTGGGCTACATAATCAGACTTTATCTCAGGGGAAAACAACCGGGAAGCTGGGCATAGTGACTCTTACTGTAATCCCAGCAAATCAGGAGGCTGAGGCCAGGGGTTAATGTGAGTTTGTGGCCAGCTTGGTCTACATGGTTAAGTCAGCCTGGATTACAAAGTGAAATTCTGTCTCAATAAAACAACAATAAATAAATCTACAAACAAAACTATAACACCAACAAAAAATGAAGATGTTAATTTTGTGGCCTAATTTATTTAACCTGGCTCCATTCTCAAACAAACAGCGAGTTTTGTTTTTCTTTTTTTCTAATTTCCTTACTATAAATCACTTGAGTAAGGTTGAAAGCATACTTCCTCCATTCTGCAGAGTGGGCTGCTTAGATAAAGTACTTTCATGGTTCCTTACTTGGTACTTAAGACAATTGCAATTAATTGTTTGAGTGATTTCTCTCGTCAACTGTAAAGAGAATTCCAGAAGACCCCAGGTGATCTACAGAGCAGCACTAGCCACAAGTAGATGTGAAAGACCTGTTGGACTTAATCACATACAGTAGACTAGTTTATTATAGACTCTTCTGTTGCAGCTTGTGCTGCAGGCTCTTCAGGAGCCTGTTGATCTAGCATTGCCCACTGAGAGGGTCTGTATTATTGGATGAAGGGAAATCCCAAAAGGCGGCCGCATTGAAAGTGCCGGGGTTTGTAATAGAAAGCTGCTTCCCTCCCTTTTGCTAGCTCTGTCCCTGGGAGAATCAGGCATAAGAGCGAGTGACTTGGGTGAAGTTTATCTGGCAGAGCTTCCTGTGTGATGCGGCTTGTTTCCCTCCACACCCAGCCAGGGTTTGAAGGCAGGTAAGCTGCTCCCAGCACTGGGATTCAGAGACTAAAAACAGCCTTTTGATTGCCACTGTCCTGCTTAAAGCCTCATCAGAGGCTGCTTTGAAATGGGTGGTTTTTAAGGCAGTCTGTAGCCATGGAAAGGTTGTTTCGAGGTGTGAATATACACTAGGTGCTGAAGGTTTAGCTCAGTGGCAGAGAATTAATCTAACATCGAAAGACCTGGATTCTGTTCTGAGCCCTGAATATGTTTTTTGCCTAGAAATAAATATGGCTCAGTGGGAGAACACTCGCCTAGCATGGGTAAAACTAGGTTTGATTTCTAGCACTGTAAAAATAAAAATGTTCAGATAGAATGATTATTTAAGTGTTCTTCTTATACTCTATGAAGGACTGAAGAAGAAAGGCATTCTTGTTTTATAGTTCGGCTAGCAGGTCCTTAGGATAAGCCAAGGGCTTTGACTTACGGCCCAGGACTCTTTCCATTATAATCAGCCATGAGGAGTAGACACATGATCAGTGTGTCTTCTTTCTCTGCCTTTCCCTCCCCTCCCTTTCTTTCCTGTTATGATTATACAGATCTTGATTCTTTCCTTTGGATTACATATAGCATATACAGCCAGGTAGGAATAGAAATCAGTAAGATTGCCTTGAATATTCAACTTCCTGATTAGGGACAAGTCAGGTAAGTTGACGTGATATGGAAGAGTAAAGGGATGATGTAGCTTTGTTTGATTTGGAACTCACTATGTAGACCAGTCTGGCCTCAAACTCAGAGATTCACTTGCCTCCTGACTACAGAGGTTAACACCACCACACTCAGTCCTAGTCTGCTTACTCTTAATTGATAAATGGAAATTGAGTTCTAGAAAACAGGGCATTGTTATTCCAGTTGTACAATAAGTTGATGCAGGACACAGAGGTACAGTTCAGATTAGAAATAGACCATAACGTGCATGGCCTTGTGTGGAGCAGTCATCTGTTTTGTTTCCGCCATTTTATTTACTGGGTATCTGGGGGAGGGGTATTCTATGCAGTGAGATTTTGTTTTGTAAGACCAGAATAAGAAGTATCTTATTCATCTTATTTCTAACTTGTCTTGTGCCCTTTCCCCTTAGAGATAGTCAGGCTTCAGATGTTAGCTGTGGTATTGTCTGTGCCCACCAGGTGGCAGAGCTGCTGTACTTAAATGTTCCTTTTGCTTCTATGTGAGTCTTGGGATAACTTCCTTAATAATAATAAAAGGAGATGCCATGGTATCTTCCTTATTCTGTTGTGCTGATAATTTGACCCGGGACCTTACGTACACTCGGCATAACACTCTGCTGAGCAACACCTCAGTATTACATAATAGCATTGAATTCTTTAAAAATGCTTGACATGCACTATTTGAGCTACGAGAGAAACTGCTACCCTGTTTCCTTTGCAATACCTAGTGCCACTGCAAATCTTGACCTTGTTCTTAAAGCTCCATTGAGGCTGTAAGCTTTGTCCTTAGCCTGTCTCACGGTGTCATTGTGCCAGTCTTTGTAAAGCAGCCAAATCTCTGTGGCGCCTTAGGGAGGGAAGGGTGGGTTGGGGTCTTAGGGAGGGAAGGGTGGGTTGGGGTCTTAGGGAGGGAAGGGTGGGTTGGGGTCTTAGGGAGGGAAAGGTGGGTTAGGGTTGGCACTGTATTCTTCCTCTCTTGCGATTGAATTGGAAACTCCTACTACTCATATTAAGGGCATTATTTGTTTGGGTTAAAAACAATATAGAAATAAAGCTTAACACCAGCCATTTTTCTATTACTTGCCCTCAGCTCCTATCAAATTCCCTCATCATGGCTGTATTTTCTTACTCTGTTCAGGCTACAGCAAAATAAGTGAGTACCCCAACCCCTAAAAAGCCACGGATTAATGTAGTCTGTTTTACAGTCACAATGGTGCGAATCTGTAACCATTACAACTATCATCAGATGGCTTTCCATGTTTGTTTTGATGTCATTGTTGAATCAACTGTTGCACTGAACTGTGGTGCTTTGCTTTAGAGCAGAGAGAGGTGGCCCACTGGCTGACCCTAATGCTTTTGACCTGCATGTTGGTGTCGCTCTAGCGATCAGAGGCAGCCTCTTTTCTCTCAAGAGTGAGCAGGAGGCCCTGGGAAGGCCAGCAGTGTGAGTGCTTTTATCTTTGTGACCTTTGTTAACAGTCCTGACCTGGTTCCCCATGAGGCCTTGCACAGGGCTCCACCCCAACCCTGAGATGAGCTCTCGGTGAACTCTGGGCAGAATCAAGATGACTGTGGCTGAAACACGAGTATTGGAGATGGCCTGGTGCTGCCCGCCTTTAATCCCAGCTCTCCAGAGGCAGGGGCAGGGGCATCTCTGTGAGTTCTGAGACAGCCAGGGCTACACAGAAAAAACTTGTCTCAAAAACAAACAAAAAGTCATTTTGATAGCCAGAACTGTTATATAGAGCAGCTGTTCTGTCTCAGATAAAATAAAATAAAATAAAATAAAATAAAATGGTATTAGAGAAGTCCTCCTCGCCCTCATCTTTTGGAGCATAGGGAAACTTGTGCTTCTCTTGTTCCATTTCATCTACTTTTAAATCTTTGTTTGTATGAGCACAAAATTGAATTTCTTAGATGGAAAGTTTATTTTCCCTTAAGTTAACCATGAGGGGATTTTTGAATAATGCACACCTGTTTTCATCACTTGCTCTGTGGCTTTGGAGCCTGTCCTGGAACTAGCCCTTGTAGACCAGGCTGGCCTCGAACTCACAGAGATCTGCCTGCCTCTGCCTCTCGAGGGCTGAGATTAAAGGCGTGCACTACCACTGCCCCAACTCCTACTTTAATTTTTAAAGCCTGATGTCTTTTTTGGGTACCACTCATGGAGGTAAGTATAACCAATAGTAACCTATAGTTTTTATTAAATACTTGGGACACAGAAATTGCTAAAGAAGCATTAAAGTAACACATTGTGGGGCCAGACACTGCTATAGAGCCAAAAGTTCAGGGCCAGCCTTGACCCTGTTGCAAGCAAGTGATATCAGTAGAGGCAGAGCCTAGATTGTGAGCACACCTGAGTTACGCTGCCTTTCTTTACCTTCCAGAACAGATACCACTGGCATTAACTTAGCAGACTGTCTCAGCTTTGGATTTCGAGGATAATGGCAAAAAAATGTGGATACACTGGAGTTGAGCGGTTCTTTCATGGCTGTCAGGGCTGGACATGTTAGTTATCACAGGCTCAGAGCACCCAGTAGATGCGCACACCAAAGACTGTCTTAACGTGGTGTAACAGCCGGCTTTACCAGAGGCAGTTTGAGCTATGTAGGGAGATACTGTCTCAGACAAACAAGAGTAGCTACAGTAGGGTTGTGTTGTTTTTCTTTTTTTAATAAAAAAATTACAAAGTATTTATTATTTATATGTATATGTGTTGTGTGTGTGCCATGTATGTGGGGATTACAGCAGAAACCAGAAGAGGGAGCCAGATCCCTGCAGTCCCCAAGTTGGAGTTACAGGCAGTTGTTAGCCGTCTGGGTGCTGAGACTCAAACTCAGGTGCTCTGGAAGAGTAGCTGGTACCACTAACCACTGGGCCGTTCTTCAGCCCGTCCCATTCCCTTCTGTACTAAGTAAGTTTTAAATCCTGGAGGACACAGGTAAGAGCAGAAAAGGTTCATAGTCTCACTGTGTGGAAGTATTATTCATTTGGTCCATACTAGGGTCATATTGCATGATGCTATCTTTATTTCCACTTGAGCAGGGCAGGTTGTACAGAGACTTGTCAGCTCAGGCGAGTGTGGTCTTGCTGCCCTCAAGCGCTCACTGGTGCCCTCTGTTTTTCAGTGGATGAGTACATCGCCATTGCCAAGGAGAAGCACGGGTACAACATGGAACAGGTGCGTGCACGCTCCCACAACAGCCCCGCCCCGCCCCGCCCCGCCCCTCCTTCAGGGCGCTCCTGTGGGCTAGTGTCTTACTGGGGGGACACACGCCAACGGATGCCAGTTAGGTGCTTGGCTCATTGGAATCAAAAAATATAGTGTCTTTCGATTGTATAATGACTTATGGTCCTATGCTCAGATTTGCTGCTTACAGTATCCAGCAGAAACTGATGGGTAATTGAGGCAGTCAAACAGAGTTCTCAATTGAGCTGAACTTCTAACTTTTTTTCCCGCTGCAGGCACTTTTGTATGGTGGGATAAATGATGGTGACCTCTGGAAAGGGTTTGCCTTCTAGCTGTGCTCAGCCTTAATGGTTTTGTCTTAGGCTATTTGCTGTTCCCTCCCTGTCACAATAGAGTTAGGAGCATCTCCAGCCCATCCCCAGATGAAGCTGTAAGACATCTTAAGGTGAACATACTGAGCCTAACACGGGAGGGAAACCGCACACAGACTGGCTTCTAGAGCCAGTTTTTCGGTGAGCTCCACAACATGAACAAGTTACACAGTGTGCATTACAGCAGGGTTGGAAACACCTGTGATATAACTGTTAGCACATTTGGCTGTAAGACTTACAGCTTCCATTAGTTTCCACCCACAGAAAGGTAATAGCTGACTACCTTGCCTGTAGCCCTGTTATAAGCCCCTGCACATGTATTCCTGCAGCAGCTTGCATGTAGCTTATAGGAACTAGGGCACACAAAAACATACCCTGTCTCCCATGTTAAAAGTCTGTGATGACATATGACTGAACCCCCCTGTTGTTGAGCTCCTCTCCCTGCTAAAGTGACTTTGAGGAAGCAAAGGGCAGCGCCACTGGCTGGAGAAGCCCTTTTGTGGGGTCTCCTGGGGAGGTGTGAAGTGACCCTCTCATCCCAGTTAAAGCACAGCAAAGGTTCCCATCAAACCTAGTGCAGCCAGCTGGGGAGCTCCCTGGGGTGACTTTCAGGAGCATGACAACTGAGGAGGGAAAGATTTTATTTGAGCTCAGAATTCTAGGTAACAGTCCATCATGCTGAGAAGTGAAGGCAAGAACTTTAAATAGCTAGTCACATCATATCTATAGAGAAGAGACGTCTAGAAGTGGACATGTGCGTGCTCGTGAGCTTGCTGTTTGCTCTCAGCTGGTTTCACCGCTCAGGACCTCTGCTTAGGGAATGGCACTGCCCACGCTGTGCTTGGTTTTCCCACATCAGGAAACTAAATTATGGCAGTCCCCCACAGGCAGCCATAGGCCAACCCACTGTAGAAAAGTCCCTCATTGAGATTCTCTTCTCAGGGGAGTCTAGACTTTGTCAATTTGTCAATTAAAAGTAACCATCGTAACAGGCATCACTGAGAAGCCCACCTCAGCATGAGTGACAATTCACACAAGCTCCATCCCTGGAGCTCCCTGCATCATTTCCAGGCACCTTGACAGCCCACAGTCCTCTCTCCCTAGTAATCCCTGTTGTATGCATAACCAGGAACGGAGATGCTTGTGAATCTTGCAACTAATTTTTGGGAACTTTTTTATTTACTTTTTGAATCTCAAGGAGGCTTCCTCTAGGATAGAACTTTCCATTTTGAAAAATTCATACATAAGAAAATTAAACCAACAGAAACTGTTTCTCAAAAAGACCTGATGTCAGAACACATGCACACCACACCATGCCCAGGTGGTATTAGGGGTAATCCCAGAACCTTGAACATGCCAGGCAAATTCTCCATGAGTGAGCTGCACCCCACTTCTTAACTCAAGACTTTGAAGCAGTTATCCTAAAGAAGGCCATTTTGAACAGGCAGATCAGTGACTTTAAACACAGGGCAGTTTGTTTTATTGTTGTGGTACTGGAGGGTGGAAGATCAGGACATCCTGCATGCTAAAGAAGTATTCTACAGGCCTGGAGAGGTGGCTCAGAGTTTTAGAGCACTGACTGCCCTTTCTGAGTTCCTGAGTTCAATTCCTGGCAACCACATGGGCGCTCACAACCTTCTGTAATGAGATCTGGTGCCCTCTGCTGGAGTGCAGGCATAACACTGTATACTAAATAAATAAAGGTACTGTCACATATATATATATATATGAAGTATGCTACTACTGAACTTTAGCCCTAGCCCAAGAAAACTTAAACTTACTGAGGTTGAAAGGGGTGGGGGAGTGAACAAGCGTGAACAGTAAGTATTTGGAAATTTCAGAAGAAGATGGACAGAAGGAATGGGGAGAGATTTTGAAGGGGCCTGAGAGGTTAGAACTTTCTGAAGTTGATAAAGTCATCTAAAAACAAGTCAACATACTTCAAGATGAACTCACCCACACCAAGACTTAGTATGAAACATTCAAAAGCCAAATGTGCCAGAATAAAACCATTTGTGATATGCAAGGGATCACCAATAAGGGTGTCATATTTGTCATCAGGAATCTGGGAGCTCCAAAGACAGTGATCTGATGTATTTGAAGTGGTAAAAGAAAAACAAAAACTTTGAAGCAAGAATTGTCTGTGTAGGTTGGATAGGTCCTCAGCTCAGGGGAGGACGTCTGTCCGCTCAGGGGAGGACGTCTGTCCGCTCAGGCAGGGTTACAGTGGAAGGAAGAAAGGGGGGGAGAGAGCTGGGGCGGCGGCTCGGCTGAGTAAGGGCTCTTGCCACCAGGTCTCATGACCTGAGTCCATTTCTAGATCCCATGTGCTGGAGGAGAAAATCCACTCATGCAAGCTGTCCTGTCATCCACATGAGTTCTTTAGCATGCCTGCACATTGATACACATGAATTTGTACATGCACACACAGCAAAATAAAGTTTTTAATTAAGACATATACAGATTTAAAAAAATAAAAGGACTCAGCGTGCCTTTTGCATTAAACGTGCTCTTCAAGAACGCTGTAGGATCCTGCGGAGAAAGGGAAGCACACTAGACAGCAATTCAGAGCCAGATAAAAGGAATAAGACTAGAGCCAAGGTAGCAAGCTAGGGAAAGCCAGTATCAGGGCTACTACCTTGGTGGGTGTAGCTCTGACTCTTTCCATATAGCCTAAATGACTCATTAAAACAAAGTTAGCTTCCTTTTTTTTTTTTGGACATACCCTATGGAAAGATAGAATTCTGTGATATCTACAACTGAAAGGGATGGAATGGTTGTACAAGAAGCTCAAGTTTTGTATTTTGTTGAAACCGCATATAAATTCAAATTCAAATCTCACAGCTTCAGAGTGTTGAATGTGATCCCTGTGGCAACCAGAAGGAATAGCTAGAAACCTGTGGTCCCAGCATTGGGAGAGTAAGTCAGGAGGATTGAGAGTTTGGAGCAAGCATAGACTTCATGGGGAGACCCTTTGAGGCACTCACTCAGAGTAGTCAGAATCGCCAGCAGTTGGTTGCTAGGGCCTGGAACAGAGGAGGTGGAGAGCAGAGAGCCGCTGATGGGCAGCCAGTGTTTGTCCCACACCCTGATGAGCCTTGGGCATGGGTATTAGCGAGCATTGGGCATGTGCTCAATACCATTGCTGTGTGCTAAGAAGTGCTTGGAATGATAGGCTAGAGTTACATGTATCTTAACTGATGCCTGTAACTTCAATGTCTATGAGGCAAGTGTTTTTTCACCTATATGGCATAAACACGCTGACCTCACTCCCATTTTCATGTTACATTTATTTGTTTGTTCTAAAATTTTGCTGATACATATTTTTCTAGGCTCTTGGGATGCTCTTCTGGCATAAACATAATATTGAAAAATCACTGGCCGATTTGCCCAACTTCACCCCCTTTCCAGATGAGTGGACAGTAGAAGATAAAGTCTTATTTGAACAAGCTTTTAGCTTTCATGGGAAAACTTTTCATAGAATCCAGCAAATGGTGAGTAGTTTATTTGTTCTGTTTTGGTTTTGCTTCTTATATGTCACAGTATATGTTGTAAGACAGGGTTATCATCAACTTCAAACAGCTCATTTATTTGTTTTGTGTGTGAGTGTCTTGCTTGCATGTATGTTTGTGTATGTACCACTTGTGTGTCTGGTGCTTACCGAGACCAGAGGAGGGCATCAGATCGCTGGACCAGGAATCACAAACACCTGTGAACTGACATCTGAGTGCTGGGAATTGAACCCAGGGCCTTTTGGAAAAGCAGCTTGTTCTTAAGCACTGAGCTACCTCTCTAGCCCCAAGTATTTCCTTTTGAATAAAGCTTCTGTAGGAAAAGTAGCTTACAAAAAGAAAAGTGTGTGGTTCAGTATTTCCAGTACAGGGTGAAGCATTCTCTACTCTGAGCTTATGGTCTACACATCCACACCATCCCCCAACCCTATAGCTGCAGTCCTCACAAGGCTACACCAACAGAAAGGATCTTTGATGATTGTTTTTGAAGGAATGTCTCAAATCCTTGTTTGTCTGTGGAAGGTTTGCTTAGTTTTTACTCTCCGGAAAGCTATTAGTCTATTCCAGATTAAAATTTAATCATGCCTGTTTTAAATGTTAAAATGAATTTGTGAAAGTTAATACTGAAGCTAGAAAGATGACTCAGTGGTTAAGAGAGTTTCCTTCACTTGGTCATGAAGACCAAAATTCAGACCCTAGAACCCACATAACAAGTCTGTAGCTGCATCTCCAATGCAGGAGGTCACAGACTTGCTGGGGCTTGCTAGTTTAAAGTGGTATGGTAGTTCACACCTTTAGTCTCCCAGCATTTGAAGGCAGAGGCAAATGGAGCTCTCTGAATTTAAGGCCAGCTTCATCTTCAGAGTGAGTTCTAGGACTACACAGAGACTTGAAAACCTAAAGAAGAAACAAAATGAAAAACAAGCTAATATTTGATATTAAAAGCTTAAAAATCCCTTGTGAAGCCCCACAACTTCAGTTCTGAATGGTTGCTCTGAGTAGTTCATTAAATTGTGGGGTCTTTGAGTCTGGTCAACTTCAATATGTGATGTTTTTAGTTAAATTTTTAAAAAGGACAATGCATTTTGTGAGGATTTTCCCCCCTTTACATACATTTTATTTTATTTTGTTTCTTTTCAGGACAGGGTTTCTCTGTAGCTCTGGCTGTCCTGGAACTCACCGTGTAGACTAGACTGGCCTAGAGATTCACCTACCTCTGCCTCCCGAGTGCTGGGATTAAAGGTGTGAGCCACCACTGCCTGGTTTTAATACATTTTAAAATACAGGAGAATGATCCTTATGAAATATGTCTTAAGCACATTTGATTGGCAAACACCAGCTTCACATCTACACAAATTGTGTTTTGCATTTAGCTTCCTGATAAATCCATAGCAAGTCTGGTGAAGTTTTACTATTCTTGGAAGAAAACGAGAACCAAAACCAGTGTGATGGATCGTCATGCGAGGAAGCAGAAACGGGAGCGGGAAGAGAGGTGAGCATGCTTCTAGGGACGTCATCTGAGCATGGGGTGAGCATGCTTCTAGGGACGTCATCTGAGCATGGGGTTCTAGGAGCTGGTGGGTGCAGGAGGAAAGCTAGTGAGCGAGGCAGTAGACACCAAAGTCCCACTGTAGATCTCTGTTCTACAGTCAGTGGACTTTAACATGTTCCTTCCTTCCTTCCTCTTAAGGTGACCCCTCCTAATTAAAGGGGATTTTGTTGTTGTTTCATGGGTCATAATTTATCGAGTATGATAACAAAAAAGTCATTTGGCGTTTGTTTATGTTTAGCTTGCTTTAAAAAAGAAGAAAAATAATTTAGATTTTTGTATTAGTTACTTCCCTTGTTGCTGTAACAAAAGCAGCTCAAGAAGAGACCATATGGGAGGCCATACGGGCGGTGTCTGTGCACGCCTTTAGTCCCAGCGCTTGGGAGGCAGAGGCAGGAGGATCTCTGAGTTCAAGGCCAGCCTAGTAAAGAAAAAGAAAAAAAAGGGGGGGGGCAGTCATGGGAGCTTGCACATCACAGGAGAGCTTCCCCCTGCTCCTTCCCTCCCTCCCCTGGCCTTGCAGTGGTAGGAGGCTAGGACTCTACCGCTAAGCCTGCCTCCCAGCCTGGATGCTCATTTTAAGGATAACTTATTAAGCTTTAGTAAGGAAGGGTGTGTCTTACCTTTTGCTTCCTCAGTTTACATGCGGTAGAGAGCAATAAAAATGGTTGGTAGCTTGGGAGGAGGTGGGGTTCCTTTGGGAAAGAATCCTGAAACACAGTATGAAGTTGGTGTTGAAGAGAGACTCAGTGGTCTCATTTTAAAATATGGAAGTCTACTGCCTCAGGCAAAAGCATGTGAAATACCACGACAATGTATTTGTAAAACTTGTGGCCATGAGCAGAAAGATTGAGTCTGGGCGCTTTCTTGTTGCTGTCTGTTTGCAGTGCAGTGGAAGTTCATGTCTGCATACTTTTCAGTTTTTCAGAGACCTTTCTTTCCTGGCCCTCCAGCAAATAACTATGAGGAAAAGTAGATGCTGTCTACATTTGATAATTCAGCTGAGAATCAAACGCAAGCTCTTGACAGTACAAAAGAACGATGTTGGAGTTGGCTTGGACACTTGGTAGCAAACCTTAGAAGTTCTCCATCACTTAGGCTACAACATTGGTTGGCTCCCAACCTGGGATCATGGCCTCTTGGTTGAGGGCAAAAGGCCCTTTCCTGAAATCAGATTCATAACTGTTAGAGTTATGAAGAGGCAGGAAAGCAGCATTGGGGGGGCTGAGAGCTGGCGCCATGGAAGAGCTGCGAAGTTGAATTCTGTATCAATTATAAAAACGCTCGTCTCGCAGTCTGTAGATGTTTACAACTATTTTAGAATAAATTTTGTTTTGGTTTTTCAAGAGAGACTGTAGATTTATAGAACTATTTTAGAATAAATTTTGTTTTATTTTGATTTGGTTTCTCTGTGTAGCCCTGGCTATCCTAGAACGCAGGAGTTCTGCCTGCCTGTTCACCAAATGCTGGGATCAAAGGCGTGTACCACCTGACTCTGCTATTTGTTTGGTTTTTATGTGAAACAGTTAATATAGAGTAACCTTTCAGTAATTTGTTCTTATCTTTCAGTGAGGATGAACTGGAAGAAACAAATGGAAGCAACCCCATTGACATTGAGATTGATCCAAACAAGGAAAACAAAAAGGAGGTATTTTTTTCTCTAACATTTGTAGGCAGTAAATGTCATTACCAGCTCTACCAGTACCTCCTGCCTCTTGTACAGGAGTGTATTAAGTGCTGAGTCCAAAGGTTCAGATGGAATCAGCTTCCCCTCATAGGATCTCAGTGGTGTCTGTCTATGATCACAGGGAAGAAGCCCTTAGGGAAAGCCCGCGTCTGCTGGTCCTCTGTGAGGGGCTGGCAGGGCTCCTCAGCTCCTCAGGGCTCAGGGTTTTCACTACCACTGTCCAGGGTCTGCTTGGACATGGCTGTGAGGGACCCAGGAGGCCCAGGAAGCTGCTAGCATTGGGAGGAGCTGACACTCAGAAACAGGGCAGGCACCTCAGCTCCCTGCCCTGTAATCGTGGGAGTGGCTATTTAAGCTTGGGAAAATAAAAGGCTCTGGGCTACCTGAATTGTAAGACCATAGCACTGCTACAAGCTTTTCATAACAGAATAGGTAATGGAGTCCTGCAAAAAGAGGGAGTTACAGTGACTACAGAATCACCACCCCATCGCCCATAGTCATCCTTAGATCTTGGTAACTTTTGGGGTTTTTTTGGAGACAGGGTTTCTCTGTGCAGCTTTGGATCCTGTCCTGAAACTCACTCTGTGGACCAGGCTAGCCTCGAACTCATAGAGATCCACCTGCCTCTGCCTCCTGAGTGCTGGGATTAAAAGCATGTGCCACCACCTTGGTAGCTTTTGAGACAACTTTCTCTGTGACATACAATGCCCATAGGTATACATAATTCAGAATTTTTAGTTTTAAAAACTTATTTTAAATATATTCATATACATAGCCATTTATTACCACAACATATGAACCTTTCAGAATTAACAGATCATAAACAGCTTTTTAGCTTAAGTCCATACTACTGTGAACAATACTGAATTCATGGATCACATACCTAAATATTTTACACTTTTTTTTCCATTAAAATAATTCCTAAAAGTTGAATTGTTGCCCCAAGGTATCTGTGTGGTACATAATACAGCTTCTTTAAGTAGACTCACCAACGTGGGTCTCTGGATGACTCTTCCCAGTGTCTCAGAAGTATCTGAATAACATGGCCCTGGGGCTAATGCAGTTAGGTTTGGAATGAAGTGAACTTGGAGTTCTGCTTTGTTTTGGTGTATTGCTATTTATTAGGTTTTTTTAATAACAACAATTTAAATGAATAAGCTTGGCTTTGTCATTTTTTGTAATTCTTTTTTATGTGGCACAAGTTCTGACTGAAAAAGTAGATTAAATCTTACAGTGAAAATGTTATTAAAACACACATAAACCAATAGGTAATCTTTATGAAATAGCATAATGCCATAAAGAATATAGTTTATTTTCTTCTGTTATTTATTACCACATAGTTAAGGAATTTATGCTATCATCATTGTTTCATTATCTATTTAATTTAGTCTTTTAAAAGTATAAAGCAGAAGGCCTTCTGAAATATTCAGCTTTATCCTTGTATCTTTTTTTAGGGGGGGGGGGAGACAAGGTCGGGTCCAGTCTTGATGCGTAGCTGAGGCTGACCTGGAGCTCCTGCCTCCCAAATGCTGGGATTGCAGAGATCCCCCCCCCCCCAACTTAAAACCGTATGCTATGGCTGCCAGACATTCCTTCTTTTGCCAAACCCTTATAGTCTTAATCCCTGAAGATACTGATATTAGAGAAAGCAGTAAAAAGTTAGGTCACTCCAAAAACTAAATGTTGTCTAAGAAGAAGTGATATATGAAATGCCTGTTTCATATTGAAGTCTATATTTATTAATGGAAAGATTACAGACCTCCTTTCCCCACCCTTCCACACCCAGCAGAGGTGATCTGTCATGCAGTGTGCCTAGCTGGGGATGAAATGACTCACTTATCTGCATGTCATATGGACAACTACACAGTCACAAAACTCGTAAGAGTTTTTATCAAGAGGCCTGAAGAAGTGGAAGAGAAAAGCTGCTGTTGAAGAAGAAGAAAGTGTTGTATAAAGTGTTCATGGTCAGGGTTGATCTTTAAGCTTCTCCTTAGGGTGCATAGATAAGAATGATGGTTGTTTGAGATTGTTTGGGGCCATGTTAAAAACACGTGCTTACTACTATCCGCTTGACATTTTTGTTTTTTTATTTCATTTACCAAACATGTGTGTCATGCAGGTGCCCCCTACTGAGACAGTTCCTCAGGTCAAAAAAGAAAAGCATAGCACACAAGCTAAAAACAGAGCAAAGAGGAAGCCTCCGAAGGGAATGTTTCTTTCCCAGGAAGACGTGGAAGCCGTGTCTGCTAATGCTACTGCAGCAGCTACTGTGCTGAGACAGCTGGACATGGAGCTGGTCTCCATCAAGAGACAGGTACCGGCCAGCCGGTGTGGTGGCTGTCATCGTTGTCTACCCAGGCCTTCCCGTCTCAGAGACGTCAGAAGTATATTTATTTCTCTTTTTAAAATATCTCTTTGTTAGTATTGGGGGTTGCTGAGTATGTGTGATTGATGTGTTAAGATCAGAAAACAGATTTGTGGAGTTGAGTCTTTGCTTCTGCCTTTTCATGAAGTCTAGGATAGAACTCAGATTGCCGGGCTCATACAGCAAGTACGTCTACTTGTCAAGCCCTCTGGACATCACCAAGAACATTTTATTTCTAAGGAACTGGGCAGAAGATCTAAAAATTACCTTTAACTTGAGCTATTTTATAGAGAGAAATGCTATTTATGTAAATTAAAATAATTACTTTGTGTATCTGTGTGTTTGTGTGTGTTGTAATGAATCAACCCACTCAAGTAACCTGTGTGGACCAGAGGAAGTACCACCTCACCGCTATTCCCCTCAAGCCTGTCAAACTCCATTTATGTCCCTCATCCCTGAACCACCTCCCAGACAGGGCCACTATTCTGATTTGTTTTGAGGGTTTTTTTTTATTGTTGTTGTTCTTGTTTTGGGGTTTTGTTCTGTTTTGTTTCAAAACAGGGTTGCTCCATGTAGTCCTGGCTGTCCTGGAATTCACTCTGTAGACCAGGCTGGCCTCGAACTCAGAGATCCACCTGCCTCTGTCTCTGTATTTCCTTTTTGAATGTTCCTTTCCAGTTGGTGAATTGTGAATTGTTCCCCACCTGCCCCATTAGATCATTTACCACTTTGTCCTGCCCCCACTCCTTTAATGACATTCTCTGAAATTCTCAATCTTTCCCCTCAGATTGGTAGGTTTTAAATCCTGGTAAGAACTTTCTCCAGGGGCTGGTGAGATGGCTCAGTGTTTAAGAGCGACTTGTTCTTACGTAGGACCTGAGTTTGATTCCCAATACCCACATGATAGCTAACAACTATCTGTAATTCCAGGGGAACCCAGGGAATCTGGGGGATCTTCTGACCTACCCTGATGCACATATATGCAGGCCAAACACCTATACAATAAAAATAAATACATTTTTTTTTGTTTTGGTTTGGTTTTTTTCAAGACAGGGTTTCTCTGTATAGCCCAGACTGTCCTGAAACTCATCTGTAAACCAGGCTGGCCTTGAACTCACAGAGATATGTTGAGTGTTATCTTAGCATCATTGTGTCAGCTTTTGTGTTTTGATCTTCAGTCTATAAATGTTTTCCTGGGTGTGGTGTTACATGTAAGTATGGGCATCTGTTTTCACCAAGTACTCTTTACTGAAAAAAGTACTTTTACTGCAGTGTAGTGAGACCTTTATTTAAAAACAGACATTCTGATTTTGTGTTCTTCATGCATTTGTTGGGTTGTTTGTCCTTCACAAATGTATAGTGCCCCAACGTGTGCTCTATAAACGTACGTGTGTGTGTGTGTGTGTGTGTGTGTGTGTGTGTGTGTGTAGCAGTAAAATCTCCTAGGTCTTAATTGTCCTTGTCCCTTTGTATTTCCATATCAAATTTGTATCACCTTTTCAATTTTCAGAGGAAAAAAGGTCTCCTAGAATTTTGATTAAGATTTTTGTTAATAGCTGTCAAATTAATATCCGTATTGTATTTTCTAATGAGTTAAGATGGTATGTCCCTCCACCTTTGTAGGTCTTTAATTTTTTATATTGTATCACTTTTGATGTGCAAGACCTAGAATTACTCCAAGATGTTTGGTACATTTTGGGTGTTCTTGTGATAGAAGTGTCTTGGTGTGAGTGTGTCAGCAACGGGAGTTACACCTGAGACATCACACATTGTCCAGTCTTTTACCACTAGCCAGTTTGTGGGTATTATTTATTTTTTTAATGGTTATTTGTGCATGCTGTATAGAAAGGGCTCATTATTTTAATCTGATTGCATAGTGGCATTTAAGTGGAAAAGTCAGTCTCAATATTTAGAATGGGTCTTTCATTAGGGTTTCCCTTCTCCTGTACTCTCCTCTTCCCCTTTCTCCTCCACCTCTTGGTTAATTAAGACTGAGTGATTGGAAACCAGCAGTCTGGTGGTCTCCAGAAAGATGGAACTGACGATGACTCTGTCTGTCCTTTGGTTCAAGGAGGCACAGGATGAGGGGGCCAAGCACCCTTCCATCGTCAGGACAGTTCTGTAGCCTGCTGCCAGCACAGCTATGCTCAGACCTGAGGAGAATCTCTTAATCTTCCTAGAGACCTCTTTTCAAATGAAGAGATTAATCCTGGGGGCTGATCCTTGCAGATGTGCTGGGGTTGTGCCAGAGCTGTTGTAGTGGGAGAACTCTGCCAGGGAGGACCAGAGGCTGCGAGGGAAGCAGAGGCTCCTCTGTTGCTTGTTGTGGCATCAAAGGACATTCTTTGTTTTTCTCAGCAGGGTCAAGGACTAGAGTGTATTTAATTTGAAATAATGCCTCGGGTTGGCAATTTTAAAGAGGAAGGGCTTAGAGCCTAATGTGATAGTGAGGAGGCAGGCGCTTAGTTGTACTTGTAGAGTTAGAATGACAGCCAGTCCCAGGGATGGTTACTTTGCTGGTACCTCAGGGAGCACTCACCTCGGAGAGACAGGAGCCCTGGTTAACCCAGTTCTGGGAGCTCTGCTGTGGGCTGCCTCGGCCACTGCTGTCAGCTCTTGTCAGGGTGCTTAGGGATCCAAGAGTCTCAGCTTTTTGCTCTTGCCTTCTGTGAAAGCTGCAAAAGTCATTCTGTAATCCTGGAGTCTATGTTCAAGGAAGTAAGGAAAGGAAATGGAAGCTTTGGGGGGGGGGGAGGGGCGGGTCCTTGTGCCAGGAGCCCTGGACTGCTCCTTGCCAGCACCCTGCACTCTGATCCCGGTTTTCAGGAACAGAGCAACTTGAAAGACAGTGGGTAAGCTCGTGGCAGGAGATCTTCTCTGAGTGGAGAATGGTCTCACAGAAGAGAGAGGTCCCTGTGAACAAGATAATGTAGAAACAAATTGTACCTTTGCTTGGGAGGCCAGCCATGTGTGTTACTTTATTTCTTTTTCTTAAAATGTCACACACAGCCTTATCCTGATTTTGATTTAATTTCCTGTCCAGTTGGCAAAATGTTGACAAGTAGCCTGTTTTAACTTCTGCCCTCCCCCCCTTTACGATTTATTTATTACCTATGCAGTGTTCTGCTTGCAGGCCAGAAAAGGGCAGCAGATCTCATTATGGATGGTTGTGAGCCACCATGTGGTGCTGGGAATTGAACTCAGGACCTCTGGAAGAGCAGCCAGTGCTTCTAACATCTGAGCCATCTCTCTAGTCCCTAACTTGTTTTTTTCTGACTCCCAAATCCTAAATTTCACCTCTCCACCCATCTTTGTGGTTTTTCTGAAAACAAGGTTTTTACTCTCTATGCCCGGTTAGCCTCCAACTCTTACTCTTAGTCCCGAACTTTTGAGTCTAAGGCAAGATTGCCACAAGTTTGCAACCAGCCTGGGCTACAGAGTAAGACCCTGTCTCTAAAAATAACCCACCCCATAAGCACTTGACAGAAATGGAGTTTTACAAGATTATATAGGAGCCAGAGGTGGTGGTGTATGCCTTTATTTATTTTCTAGCATTCAGGAGGCAGAGGTAGGTGGATCTCTGTGAGTTTGAGGCTAGCCTGGTCTACAGAGTGAGTTCAAGGGCAGCCAAGGCTACACAGTGAAACTCAGTTTTGAGTAAACAAGGCAGATGAAAAGAAAAAAAAAATATATATATATATATATGTGTGTGTGTGTGTGTGTGTGTGTGTGTATGTATGTATGTATGTATGTATGTATGTATGTATGCTGTTTAGGACGCCAGGTGGAGACTGACAAGGTGGCTCAGGTTAAGGTGTTTGCCACTATCTGAGTTCCTCAGAACCCACACAACAGGAGGAGAGAAGCTGCTACACTGAGCTGTGTCCTGACCCTACATGCGAGCATGCTCTCACACACACTCACCATAGTAGTTTTTCAAAGAAAGGAAAAAATAAAACAGGATAGTAAGTAAGCAGGACCTGATGACATAGGCCAGTAATTAGCACTATTCAGGAAGCTGAGATAGAAGATAACATGTTTAAGGCCAGTCTGGGCTATGCTGCAACTCAGCAAGACTGTTGTCTTAAAAGTGAAGTAGGGACTGCGTGCGTGTGTGTCGCTATGCATTAGTGTTAGAGGATGCTCTTGTGCTAATCTCCAGGACAAGGAAGAAGGGTCTGCCTTGCTTTTCCTACTCCAAACTCTTCTTAAATATTACTTTGCTGGCAAGATTTCTTTTTTAGTGACATCTACTGCTCCTGAATACCTTTGATGTTTTATTAATCAAAATCACCCACCCAGTTCTTTCCTTGGCTTTTTTTTTTTTTTTTAACAGCTTCTTTGGTTTTTAAAAAGCTTCTAAAAGTCAGAGTTATAATGTGGCTTAATTTTTGTCTCTCTCTCTCTCTCTCTCTCACGTACACACACACACACACACACACACACACACACACACACACAGAAAAGCTAGGTATACCGAGTCAAGCAAAAATACAGGAAAAAGGGTAATTTGGGAGAAGACAAAGATGCTACAAGTGGTCAGTTAGGCTTATGGGAATTTTGCCATTTTCCCCATCAAAAATGTTTTTTCTAGCTCTCTTTTTAAAATAAAATTCTTTTTCTCTCTTAGATTCAGAACATTAAGCAGACAAACAGTGCTCTTAAAGAAAAGCTTGATGGTGGAATAGAGCCTTACCGACTTCCAGAGGTAGGATTATATTTATCTCAGAATTAGGCTGAGTTTATGTGCTTGAAATTCTGGTATCTGGTACATGTCTCCAATATGCCTTGTTTTAGAAAAATAGAGGCAGAATTTTTGGAACCTAGTTTATATCAAAATCCAGACATGAATAAAAGTTCATTAAACTACCATAAAATGCATTTAATAAGTTGACAATCCATTTGGGTATCTAGGTCATTCAGAAATGCAACGCACGATGGACTACAGAAGAACAGCTTCTCGCCGTACAAGGTATGGGGGGCTCTCCTTAGCAGCCAGGAACTGTGATAAATGTAAGGGACATGTTATGTTCCATGCTGTCACTTCACTTGTGTGGAAGATTAGCGTATCATAGCTTTCTCCTTGTGTGTGTATTTGCATGCATGTGTTGTTATTGAGGATTGAACCCCACTAGGCAGATGCTGTACCACTGTGAAACATCCTCAACCCATGTCATTCATTCATTCATTCATTCATTCATTCATTCATTCATTTTTGTTTTTTTCTATGCTATATGGCTGTTCTGGAACTCACTCTAAAGACCAGGCTGTCCCCCAATTCATAGAGATCCGTCTGCCTCTTAATCCCAAATTCTGTGCCACCACCATCTGGCTAAGTATTAGCATTTTAAGACAGGAAATGTTTCTCAAACTTAGGGTTCTGAAAAGCCAAAGCAGAATGTCCAGTCATGAGACTCTTGACAGGAACCTCAGCAACTTGTATGATAATGGCATGCTTTAAGAAAGGTTTCTAGTGGGCAGGATTTTACTAAATTATATATGCTGTCACCTGTAAGCTATTGCTAATGATGACTGCCATGCTTTTCTACTGCTGTAACATGCTAAGATAGTGTCTGATTAAAACCTCTGCGGGGGTGCCTGCGTGCGTGCGTGCATGTTCAATTCCCAGGACCCACATGGCAGCTCATAAGCACTTGTAACTCTAGTTCCAGAAGCTCTAGCACCTTCTAATCCCTGTAGGCACAAGTAGGGTACACACATACACATACGTATGGGGAAAACTTTCACACACATAAAAATGAATACAAATGTTTTCTCTTATGCTGAAATTATTTTTTAAAAATATTCTCTTCTGTGCTTAGCCATCAGGAAATATGGGCGAGATTTTCAGGCGATCTCAGATGTGATTGGGAACAAGTCAGTCGTTCAGGTGAAAAACTTTTTTGTAAATTATCGGCGTCGCTTCAACATAGATGAAGTTTTACAAGAATGGGAAGCAGAACATGGTAAAGATGAGACCAATGGGCCCAGTAACCAGAAACCTGTCAAGTCCCCTGATAGCTCCGTCAAGATCCCCGAGGAAGAAGATGAGGTAAGTCTGGAAGGAAGAGGTGTTCTCCCTGCAGGCCATGCTCAAGGCTGCTGAAATGTCACTAAGCAGCTGACTCCAGTAGCTTGTCACTGGCCTGCAGACAACATAATGCCTTCCTGGCTTCCCTCCACACTCAGGGACTGTTGAGTTGTGTCCTATGAATTGGGCAGGTCTCAAGTGTTAGCCATTGCTAGAGACTGCTGGCCTTCTGGATGAGTCTGTATGCCTTTAGGAGCTCTTAAGGGATGCTCAGTAGCAGCCTTCCAGCTTTTGATGCTGTCTGGGCCTGGCTGTGGTCCTGTGTTTGCTGGAACTTCTGGGGCAACGACTGGCATTGTGATTTTGGAGGGAGTGACCCTGATTTCATCAGAGCTGTCGGTTAGGAAGGAAGGTGACTCAGCCTAGATACAGATCTTCCACTTCCTGTGTTGGGATTGCTTACCAGCTGCCTCTGCCCACCCCAGGAGTAGGGCATTACCCTGTACACTTCTGCCCCATCTTCCTACAGAAGATGTGCATGAGGGAAGGCTAGGCAGTCATTACGAACCTAGATGTGTCCACTAGTCCAGTAACTTAAGGATTGATTTACCTTTCTAAGGAAATCCACTTTCTCTGACTCCCTTAAACCATTGATTTGGAGTCGATTGGCTTTTATTGTTTGTTGCACCTTTGCTCTGGGCTCTAGCCTAGAGAACACACTTATGAACGCCTCAAAAGAAAGTGAGGTCATGTCTATGAAGGGCCTCAAGGTGCTTCCCCTCCGTAAGGAAAGCATTGCATCATGGCAGCTTTGAGAATTAAAATCTTAAGCACTTGCTACAAGAAAGTCTGTAGGGTTTGTCAGAACCTACACATTTCCAATATGAGCAGCATTCTCAAGTTATCCTGGTATAGGGCCAGTCTGAAGGCCCTGGAACTTAGAACATGTAAGCAAAATGAGGTAATTTCACCCTTAGCAGTAAGTTTTGCCTAAGTGTTAACTGCTCCTTTAGAAACACATTAGCTTCTCTAATGCCCTGTGCTCTTGTAGGAGGCACTGAAAAGTCAGAGCAAGGAGTGTATGTTGTTATTAGTTGGCATATTTGAGCAGGCCTGTTTCCAGGTACTGTGATGACATGCATGCAGGTCTCCTAGCTATCTTACCTAACCAGGAACTATGGTTACTGTGTAGCTCTGCAGAAAAGGATGCTCAGAAAGAGAAGGGCAGTAGAAGGTGGTCAGCATCCCCACCCCGGGAGCGCGATGCTTCCCCTGCAGTGCCGCCTGCTCTCGCTCATGGATCCCACCGGGGCTGCTGCTGGCTGGCCTCACTCTTCCTCCCTTCCTCCTCCTTCAGGCTGCTTCTGTCCTCGACGTAAGATACGCATCTGCCTCATGAAAACTGCTGGTAGCTTTGAACACTTGGTATGGGCGACATGTTATCCAGATATCAGGTATTACAAGACATCACCTAGCCATCTGCATCACATCTCTGTGGACAAGCAGCTATTACCAAAAAAGGCATACACTTCAGTCCTGTGCTACATCTGCCTTAATTCTTTGCTCGTTCCTCCATGTTGGCACGACTTCCCAGAGAGCTCTGTTGCATCTCATTCTGCCTAAGGGCTGGGGGACCCATGGCCTGCACACCTCCCTCGAGTCTGGGACCTACCCTCCAGTTGGCTCCCCCGAGCCCCAACAGTGGCAGCTCTCCCAGTCAACAGCTTCAGAACAGGTAGTCTTGATGAAAGGCCCAGCTCTGTTCCTGCATGGCCTGCAGTTTCTACTTTGTGCATAGTGTAATTCCAGAAGGCCTCATAGGCCTTCTAGAAGATTTCTCCCCTTCTCTGGGGAAGCCACCTAAGTAATATCATGCTTCTTTGGAAATCACAGCCCATTGGCAGACCACATCATAACCTTTTTCATACCAAGCTCCCTGGTATAACTCCTGTTTCCCTAAACAGAAAGTGGAATTATGGTGGAGAAATCAGGTGGCTCCTCTCCCCTTTCTCTTCTCCTAACTTTCCCCTTTCTCCCTTTCCAAGAGATAAAAGCTCATTTGAAGCAGCTGTCCCTGACATTGTAGCTTACTGGGAGCGTGGACCTCAATGCTTTCTTTCTGCCTTCAGCCTTCAGCATTGGAATCCCAGGGTGGGGGTACACCCACCTCCTCTTGATTCCCCAGCTACCACTATCATCACCCAACTCTGAGAAATCTGGTTCATATCACTGTACCTGGTGCTTGTAATTTGGAATTGGTGCCTTCTCCTCCTGGCAACCATGTTATCAATCACTTTTCTGTTCAAGTGTCTTATTTAACGTTTATTGCTTGCCAAAGATGACATCATTGAGGTGTAGCAGATGGGGAGAGCTTCAGCAGATTTGACTTGAAACGTCAGGTCGGCTCAGGAGAGGACATGAGGGAAGCTAGGGGTGGTTTCTTAGATCTGCGCCCCCTTAGCGCTCACTCTTGGTGTGCCTGCCCATTGGGTGTCGCTCCATGTGTCCTATGTGTCATTTATATGCTGGTGTGATCACACACACACCATCCCCTCTCTTTTAGCAGCAGATAGGACAGAAAAGTGATGGATGTTTTGCTTAGTGAGACCAGCATGCAAACCAGTCTACAGAGTGGTATGTGATACCATCTGTTTAGACTGGGAACAAGCGAAGATTGCTAATAAATGTTCTGAGACTTCCAGAATCACTTTTGCTCTCTTACCAGACTGTGGGCCTGCAGGGGTTGAGGGGCAGCCGGTCAGACTGCGTTCTAGCATCCATGGCCAGTTGAGACTGCACTAACCATGTGGAAATATCTTTTGTTGTTGTTCGCAGTGTTTGAATATTTTTTCTGCTTTCAATACCAAAAAGAGGAGAGAAAAAAAGTAGATGCTTTAAGATAGGAACAGAGTTCTTAAGAATTTAAAATATGCAATTAAAATTCGATGTTTTTGACTCCTAAGCACCTTCCCTTTTTTTTTTTTTTTTTTTTTTTTTTTTTAAATAATTTTTTAAAGTTAGCTGATGTTCTCTTTAGAAAGAGGTTCAGCTATAGAAATCTAGATTGGGAGTGGGGTGTACATTGTTTTTGAGAGGTCTGGAGAAAGGTCATTCCAAAGGAGAGTGTAGAGGGACTTTGTTCATCTGTCCCACACCAGGTGCCCATTGATAAGAGTGTGTGGAACAGTGCAAGGCACAGCCCACTGCTGCTCTATAGGGACAGGTGACAGACTAACACTAGCGAGGAATCCACTTTCTTTTGTGTTTTTATCATAAACCTGCTGTGTAACACAAAGGGGAAGGAGAACATGATGGGGTCAGAGGTCAGCCCGCACTTTGTGCCTCACTCACAGGGACACTAAGGCGCCTGATAAAGCTCTGCTCGCCTAGCTTTTTGCATGTCCTCTCTCGGTGAGCAGAAGCAGTGTGGATGGTTGCTACAATGGCTTTCACGCTCTGCCAGTGGTTCTACGTCTGTCTTTGTGCTGGGGCTACTTTAGATTTGTTCTTCCTTGTCGGTGCGATGGGCAGAGCGCAGCGCCAGGCACCAGGCTCCTCTGTACTGTCTTCCTGGTTCCAAGCAGCCGGGACAAGTCGGGTGTCAGAGTGACTATGATCAGAATAGCTGGTTTTGGCTTTTTCTCCAAGGGAAAGAGGCATGCCATTTTCATTAGACAAAGGGGGTCTTTGTCTGGCTGATGTTGGAATAGTCTTCATGTTTTAAACGTTTCGTGACACAGTCTGCAGTGATGTAAATCCAAGAAATCACTTAGCTTTCAAAGCTGAGGGCTCTGGTCTTGAACTGTGACTGTTCAACATGTCAAAAATTAGGTGCATCAGCAGGTTAGGTTTGGACATGACGCCTGCTTCAGATGGAATGTCACTTAAGCTTTGCGTTCTTAAAAATTATCAATGTGAATGTCATAATTATATATTTTTGTGGGAAAATCTTCTAAATATAAGTTATTGTGCAAAATATAGTATCATGGACACAAATAATAGTCTAACTTTTAGTTTAGAGATCCCTAAAGATATAAACTGTATTGCGTATGCATTAAAAGTTTGTTTTATTTAATTTTATGTAGACATGTAAAGTGTTTAGGTAATTCTTTTTGCTTACCCACATAAACACCCTGTTACTTGAATATTGTGTTGACTGGTCGGCAGCGGTGATCGATTGTGTAACAGCTCTTTCGCTGGGGCCCAGCCTCAGTTAGGCGCTGTGTCAGCAGGAGCAGAGGTTCATGCCCCACAGCACTGTCACCGTCTCTTTGTCTGTCAAGGCAGCTCCTAATGGTGGCTTCTGGCAGTTTTTACAAGGCCCACACAATGATGGTCACAACCTTACTCACAAAAACGAAGGCGAGAACGTTTGCTGTGGACTAATTAAGCAGTTGTTTTCTGTTTATACAGTTTTCTCAGTACCACACACCGCTCTAAGTGAGTTCGTTGTCACTTTAAATTGCAACTATACCCTGCTTTTATCTTTCTAAATATCAGATGTACTATTGGTATAATTGCACACCAAAAATAAGCCCAGCAGTGCATTACACTAACTGGATCCCTGCTTCCATGTAAGCAAAGGAGAGACAGAACACAGCCTGTCTTTCTCTCATGTCTACCCTTTTGTACACCCAGTGACCCAGGGTACAAGTTTTCAGTATCAAGTCAACTTGGCCCCAGATTGACTAAGGCAGGTGGATCATCTGAGCCTAACGGTCCTGTGCAATGCTCCTCCCGCCTCTCCCTGGGTCTTTGCAACTGCTTCTCACTGTAGTAAAGCACAATTGCAGGAAGGTTCCAATTCAGAAGGAAGGTCAGCAGAGTCTATGCATGTTGTAAAATAGTGAGTGTTTACAGCCACCTTCTCTAAAACGAAAATTTATACTGGAGTGGATAGCATTCCATTATGTAGACTTAAAAACTTTGCTAAGTGCTTTTTAGATTGCTTAAAATTTTTTCAAGATTTTAAAAGATGTATAAGGTTAAGTTTGCAAATATAACGGAAATGCTGTATATCTTTTGGAGTGATAAAATCCATGTTAAATTTTAAAGAAACTATGTTGTAATAATGCTGTTGTAAGTAATATTTCCATGTCTCTCTTTGCTTGTTTTCTAGTTCAGCACAGTTATTGTGGTGAATGTCCATAGCATTATAACTGCTTAGCCATTGGATTATAACATTTGTTAGTGGAGATTGGGAAATTTATTTGTGAAATTCTGCAGAATTCATTTTTCTATTTCCAATATTTGCTGAAGTTAAATAAAAATTTTCAAGCCATTGATGTAATAAAATATGAAACAAAACAATTTTCTGCAGCCCCATGTCTATCTTGCTACAGAGTGGGATGTTTTTCTCCCCTTCCAAGCCGGCCTTGGATTTCTGATGGTGTTATTGCCCCAGTATAAGACCCTGTGAGGCAGACAGCTGTGGGTGGGGGGAGGCTAGTGCTCTTATTACTCTGATAATCTTATTATTATTGCTTCTTACTGCTCTTATTATTCTGATAATCTTCATGTGTGTGGTTACCAGGCATCAGAAGTACAGTGTATATTTCATAAAAATTTTGGTGTTATGGTCTTAAGAATAGAGGTTGGGTAAAAGAAGTGTTTCTTCTGTCAGCTTAGCCAGGCTTTGACTGGGTCCTAGAGACCGGCCCTGCATAGTCCCTGGTCTAAGGCAGTGACGGGGCAGACTATTGCCTTTTTTGTTTCTGGTTTCAATACCTGAGCAGTTGAGGAGTACTGGCAGCCTCTGAACTTCCCTCTCCTGGCTGGAATAATGCATCAGTGAGCTTTCTCTGCATTCATAAATGCCTAAGGTCGATAAACTTATGTAGGCAGGGTCACTGGCCACACTTGTGAAGGTTGTAGCCGTTTGCCCTCAGACTTTTGGGCAGTGTCGTCTGTTGGTCCTCTCACTTTGATGTGTGGTAAGGGCAGGTAGCATACCACGGAGAGAGCGGAGCAGGGCAAAGCTGTTCACTTCATGTCCAAGCCAGGGCCAAAGGGAACAAACAGGAAGGCCAAAGAAAGGTCTGGAGGCTGCCCCTAGCTGCTGGCCCACAGACTCCATGCTCTGTGCACTGAATCTAGTACCCAGCTTCTTAGGAGGTGCGGCCTTTGAAGAGAGGGCCGTGTACATCATTGCACGCGGTCAGATTGCTGGCCTTACTGGAGTCAAGGCCATACCGATCATGCTCTCCATTGACTTCACAACTTAGGCTGTCGAGTCTCACTGATAAGGGATCTCAGTGTGCTTAGTCTCTGCCCCTGGGCTGTGTGTCCTTTTTCCCTGCCCCATAGGAAGGGATACAGCTGTACACCTTGCGCAGCCCCTGGCCTTTCTCTTCCAGACTCTTCCACGCTTACCACCTGTGAGGGTTAGTGCCTGTATGTCGTGGGCTCGTGCAGCATTCACCATCGCCTCTCTTTGAACTGTTTACCTCAGTGAATTGTACTTTGTGTCTGATCACCAAAGTAGAAACCCTGACATTGGCCACCTGCAACCCTGTCGCTGCCAACATGGCCACCTCAGGCATCTGCTTGCTGGAGCTGATGCCTTGGCCAAACACACCAGTGCCTGATCCCCAGCGCTGCTCCTTTTCCTGATCCATCCCTTCACAATCAGGAACCTTTCCTTTATTTTATGTGTATGGGCTTCAGATTGCATGGTACTACAGTTCTAGACAGTTGTGAGCAGTCGTGTAGATGCTGGGAATTGAACCCAGGTCCTCTGTGAGAAGAGTCAGTGTCCTTAACCACTGACCATCTCTTTCAGCCCCAATCAGGAACCGTTCTTCTACATGAGGCAGGCGGATCTCTGTGAGTTAAGGCCAGCCTAGTCTACAAGAGCCAGTTCCAGGACAGGCTCCAAAGCCACACAGAGAAACAAAACCAAACAAACAAACTGGAAAACTAAAGGCTAAGTGGGATATGGCTCAGTTACACGGCGTTGCGTGGTGTGTACATACATATACACACATGATTTTAATCAGTTTCTGAATCACCACAGATAGAAGTTCCTCACAGCACCTTAACTGCCCAGTTCCCTGTGGCCAGTTCTCTGCAGCCCTCAATCTGTGCAGCAGGCAAGACTGTGTTTTCAGCTAACAAACGGCAGCCTTGGGACAAGACGATCCCTACTCCACAATCAAGCTCTGTCCTGTCGGACTCCGATGCGCTACCTGAGTGAGCCCGTGTCGTGAGTCTTGTGACCTGCCCACTCCTTTACTCATTGCAAGCCCTTCTCTTCATCTATACACAGGAACAGTGACTTCTTTAAAGAATAGCCAGCTTGCCCAGGACCAGCCCCAGCCGTGGAGCAGAAGCTCAACGTAGAGCTGTTGGTGTTGTAAACTAGCCTTTTTGCAGGGTCCCTGTAGGGGAGCTGGGGTGTCCACCATTTACTCACCTTTAGATGAAACCCTCACTTTGAGGTTCACTACCCTATTCCCACTCCACTCTGAATAAGAGGCCCTCGGGTAGGTGTGTGTGTGTGTGTGGGGGGTGTACCTGTATGTATGTGTGCACGCATGCATGCAATGAAGACTTGCTGTTTGTTAGATTGGTAAAACTCCATGGAGTAGCTCGGGGCTACTTTAAGTGAACTCCCTGCTGCATTTCTCATGTGTGCATTTTCAGGCAGGTCCTTGAGGTTCTCTGAAGGGGTAGAGGTCATCCTCTCGATCCTCGGTGTAAGCTCTGGCTCCTCTGTGGCTCCAGGTTGCCTGCTCTGAGGCCGGAGTGTGTACCCACCCTGTGTGCCACCAGACAGCCTCAGCAGGACCAGTATGGGACTCTGGCTGCAGGGTCCTCTGGTGACATTCCCTGTCAGCCTCTGAAGTAAGATCATCATGGTCGTGGCTCCCCATGGAATCCCTTCCCATTGTGTGGGCCTTGTGTTTCCCCCTGAGTGTTAGTATATTTTACTGTTTGCTATAAGATGTCTGCTGCAGACTGCTTAGTAAGAAATATGCCGCTTATTTCACATAGAATTTTGAAGGCTGGGAGTGTATATAGCACAACACAGATTGAGTCGAGGGCCTCACCCCATCACGATGATCGGCGATGGCAAGAACGCTTGAGAGGTTAAGGCATCATGGAGAAGCAAGACATCCCAGGTGCAACTCAGGGCCCACAGGGGCCACCTTACTCTCTGAGGACAAGACCTCCACTGGCCTGAGGGCCTGGACTAGCCTCCATCAACTCTGTGCCACTGTACTGCGGTCCAGTTTCCTATACACAAACTCTGAACTGGGTCACAGTTGTCTTAGTCAATGGGACCTTCACAGACATGGCAAAGGAACTGGGCCATCCTCCTGCTGCTACTAAATCTACCATCCTGTAAAGAAGTTTAAGACAACTGCTAGAATGACTGGCAAGGCCATCAACCACCAGAGGTCATGGAACCATGAGAAGGTCCCACTAAGTGACCTTGGAAAGACCAGCACAAGGTATGTGTGGGCAAACCCTCCCATGTGGGAGCACTGGCCCTAGGGACAGTGGCTTCTGGTAGCAGCTGTTGTCTCTTGGTATATCTTGTCATGTAGTAACAGATGACTGACAGTTGGAGAGGGTGGGGCAAAATTCAGGCTGCAGTAAAGGACTAAGCGCTTGGGTTTTGGAGCCTGGGGTGCTGTCAACGTGCAAAGTCCTCAGGGATGGGGTCCCAGGTCTCTTCTCAGAAGTAGGTTTAGCCCGGTGCGTGGAAAGTATAAACTGCTGCCTCTGAGGCTAGATCACCTCTCTGGCTCCCCAGGGCATAAAGTCCCCCATGAGACAACCACTGCTAAGAAGCACTGGCCACTCCTTGGGACCAGTCCTTTGACATCCAAGGCCAGGTGCGGAAGCAACCTGGGAAGGCTGGAAATAGACTCTGGCCAGCCTTCCCAGGTTGCTTCTGCATTGGTTGAACCCTGGTGGTCAAATGCTTTTCACTAAGGAGATTGCAAGTTGAAGTGCTTCCCCTTGGGCAACAGTGTTTCCCTGCTGGGTCACACCCGATCCCTGACTGCCCATCTGCCTGACCTTCCTGACTAAACAGCAGACACACCTGCTGGGTCTCCAGCCTTAGACTGGAATCAAGAGAGAATAGGGTTCAGCAGGTTTCCAGTCAGAATGAGAATGGACACTGGGCTAATTTCACAGAGGTGTGGGTAGTCAGTATGCTCTAACAGGTCCCCCGGGCCAGGTCCCTGGGCAGCAGGGAAGGTGGGCTGCCCGACCTGCGGGTAGGTACTCCTGAGCTCAGGTGAGTCACTTAAGATGTTAAGAGTCACTTGAGGGAGGGGCGGGGGGACGGCTTCCCTGAGGTACTTCTGCAGCTTGCATGGTAGCCCCTTCAGTAGAAGCAACATAAGCATGGAGTTCCAGCTGGGGAGACAAGGAAGAGAAATTCCATTTCTGTGACGAAATCGGTGGTGCCTGGAGTGACTGCACAGGCCTGGGGTGGGCCAGAAGGGTGCCACAGGCATCTTCCCTGCTCATCCCAGACCTGTCCAGCTTTGTTAGCAGCTGCTGACAAAGTTCAAGAGACTGAGTGTAGGGGCCATGGTGTCCGTGCAGCAGCCTGTAGCATGAGAAGCAGGAGCAGCAGACCCCAGGCTGGCAAGCAGCTTGTCCCCAAGCCCAGGCCATGGTCTCTAGGTGCTTTGTCCCACTGAACACGTGAGTGCTCTGGGGAATTGGCTGGGTGCAGGTGTGGGGGGAGGGGGCTTACCTACACCGGAAGCCAGCTTAAAGTCTCCCACTGCTCTGGTGGGACAGCTGCCATTTAAAAAGCCATGGAAAACTTGTAAGGATCCAAAAAGGTTGTAACAATATTGTCTTAATTTTCTAAGTTTATTTTGGGGAGGAAGGCACACATGCCTGAAACATGGATGCACAAGTAAAAGGTGGTCCTTTGATGCTCACGTAGTGTCCGATGAGAGCGTGCTGGTTGGCACCTGTCATGGCAAGTATCTTTACCCACTGAACTACCTCAGCAGCCCAGCGGTGTTTCTGTAAACACCAGGTAAACACTTTTGGAGATGAAGAAACATCAAATATAGATCCAGCTTTTATCCAAATGTTTCAAAGCAAAATCATTGAGTAGGAAGGTTGTTCTTGTAGAGCTCTAGCGTAATACGCTGGAGATTTGGGAAATCCTCATTTTGTCTCTAAGGCACGGATGATCCGGATCAGTGACTGACACAACCATTAGAGGCTGGATGGAGAAAGCACAGTTGAGCTAGCTGGCCCTAAAGCCCTTCACACCTTGACATGGAAACCTTCCCTTCGGGACACAGGAACCTGAACCGCAGGAATGC